GATGCAGAGCAAGGCTGCCCAGGCCGGCTGTGCTGCACATTAACACGCGGGGTGGAGGGTGCGAGCGTGAGAGGGAAGGCAGGTAACACCAAAGCCGGAAGTAGACCCTGCAGCCCGAGGAAGCGGGGGCTCCTTCTGGGGGAGCCAAGAGCAGACAAAGGAGCTGAGAGAGAGGGCCACGGCTCTGATCCCAACAGGGAGCCAGAGGAGAAGCTGATGGAGCCCCTGGAAAGGCTCATGCGCTCAGGCCTCTCCAGACACCTGCGCAGGTGCCCCAGGCTTAGCGATGACATTTCCTGAATGAGTCCAAGCCCTCTCTCCCTGCGCCCATCATGTCCCGTGAGCTTCAAACACAGGCCATCACTGCTCCCAGCACTGCAGGCCTGACAATGGCTCCACGCCTGGAGCCCGGGACCCGTGACATTTCACAGCCCGTGAAACCGCTTATTTGGGCAGGGAGAGGTTGGTGCCACAGCCCCGCTCTGGGCTGTCTTCTCCCTGGGCCGCCGTTTTAGAACCTGCCCAGGTCAGGGAGGCCTCTTTCTCTGGGCAGGAGGGCCTTGCTCCGTTTTGTTATTACTGCTGGGCTTTTTGGGCTTCCCTGGCAGCTCAGGCGGTAAAGAATCTGCCTGCAATGCGGGAGACCTGGTTCGATCCCTAGGTGGGGAAGATCCCCTGGAGGAGGGAATGGCAAAATGCAATGAGATGCCAAGTTTCAGGACACTGAGAGATCCAGAACCCAAACGAGTTTTCTTCTCCTCCTATTCCCTCTATCAAACTGAAGAACTACCTGACTTAGCCAGCTCCTGTTCCCTGCCCGATGGTATGAATGTTGTGATAAAACTGTGGCTCACGTTGACTTTCAATCTGCTAGGTGCTAGGCACCAAGCGCTTTACCGGCACCAACTCGTTAAATCCGCGTAAGAGTCTGGTATCTGCTGGGTCCCAGAGCCTCAGGTACACATTCCAAGTGAGAAGAGCTTGTCTGACCTTGGACATTGCTCCCCTCAAGGGAGAAATGGTAGGGCCAGAAAGACAGGAAATCCCAGATCCTTTAACTCACGGGACACCCCCAGTGAGGCATTTCACCACCTTCTCCCATGGATCCAGTTTTTAAAACCCCTGAGGCAATTTCTAAACTGGAAGAAACTTTTAACAGGAAAGTCATGAGCCTTTTGGGGGTCTCGCTTCCTGTTGCAAAGACATTATCTGTCTTCCTGGAAGGAGACGTCTGCTGCTTGCATGCAAGGTGGTTAAAAACAGTCAATGGTTGAAACTGTTCATCTCTTCTGCTCAAGAGAAGGAAAAGCATTGCAAGTTGGTAGGCAGGGCTCTCAGGCCCACCCAGCGGGTTCTGAGTCTCCCAAGGGAGACTCCACCCCTCTGGATAGCTCTCACCCGAGAATTCTCAGAGCTGAGCGGGGAGGGCGGATGGACAGGTTGGGGACGGGCATCACAAAGAATCAGGGTCATGACGCCACGTGACAGCTGCCCTGCCCTGCAGATGGGAGCAGCAGGCTGAGTGTTAGGAGGCCACTGGCTCTGTGCGACCTTAGGCTAGTCTGAGCCTCCACCAAGCCTGAGGTATCCCCCTTTGAAAAATGGTAATAATATCTGATCGACCTGGTCCTGCCCAGCTCACGGGGCTGCTGAGAGGATCAGAAGAGACGAGGGCTGTGGAAATGCCTGGAAGACCTTGAGACCCCGTTACCATAGAGATGATGACAGCGATGGTGGGGTGGTGGCTGACAGTCGCGGGCACTCTGAGCCCTTCACAAGAGGCCGGAAGCGCTGGTGGGATCGGCAGGCTGTGTGACCCGCCACGACTCACCGAACCACTCCCGGCTCTGATGTTCTCTCCTGTCACACGCAAACAGTGAAGGCCACGCCGAGATAAGAGGTGTGGAAGGACTCTGAACGCCTGTTTGACGGGGCTTTTGCTCTAGTCAATATCTATTTGACAAGAAGAGTTCTTCTGACAATTACTGGAGGGAGAGCAGTACCCAGGAGAAGAAAACTCCAGATTAGCAGAAATATGACTGCAAATCCTCACTGCGTTCACCCTAATAACAACAAGATGGAAGCCCTGACTCTTAGAGAGGGCAAGGATTGATTCGTTAGAACCTACAAAGTCCCCAGCTCACAAGCAGATGGAGATTCTAATAACAGCAAGAACCAACAAGTATAAATTACTTCTGTGCCAAGCCTGAGACCAAGGACTGTCCATGCATTATCCCATTTAATCCTTGCAGCAAAATAATAGGATTCAATTATTCCTTTCCCTATTATTTCCATTCTATAGATAACTAAACTGATGCTCTATTAGTATACAGTCACTCAGCCAAAGTCACAGCTAGGAAGTGTCCACACGTGGATTTGAACCCCTCCTGAGACACCAGGCTCTTAACTCTCCTAAGATGCCATCCTCACATCAACCTTTTGCAACTGAAATGACTACTACCCATTTTCCCGATCAAGGAAACGGAGGCTCAAGAGGTAAATGCACTTTCCCAAGGTTTCCTTTTGGTAAATGGTGGCCTGAAGCCAAGTCTGTCTTTGGGAACACAGTAAGTCCCCTACGTAGAAACCCTCGAGTTGTGAACTTTCAAAGGTGTGAGCATGTTTCACATGTTCAATCACATCGGTTAGTTTTGTGTCTGGTGTACGTTGTCATGTGTGTGCATCCTCTACGAGTGGTTGTGCTTTTGTGTGTGTTACTGTATAGAACCGTTGCCGTGCAACATGTTGTTGTTCAGTTGCCCAGTCCAACTCTTTGTGACCCCATGGACTGCAGCACACCAGGCCTCCCTGTCCCTCACCATCTCCCGGAGTTTGCCCAAGTTCATGTCCATTGCATCTGTGATGCTGTCCAGCTGTCTCATCCTCTGATGCCCTCTTCTCCTTCTGCCCTCAATCTTTCCCAGCATCAGGGACTTTTCCAATGAGTCATCTGTTTGCATCAGATGACGAAAATACTGGAGCTTCAGCTTCAGCATCAGTCCTTTCAGTGACTATTCAGGGTTTATCTCCCTTAAAATCGACTGGTTTGATCTCCTTGCTGTCCAAGGGACTTGGAGGAGTCTTCTCCAGCACCACAATTCAAAGGCATCAGTTCTTTGGTGTTCTGCCTTCTTTACGGTCCAGGTCTCACAACCGTATGTAACCCCTGGAAGACCATAGTCTTGTATGTACGGACCTTTGTCAGCAGAGTAATTTCTCTGCTTTTCAACACACTGTCTAGGTTTGTCATCACTTTCCTGCCAAGAAGCAACCCTCTTGTGATTTCATGGCTGCAGTCACCATCTGCAGTGACTTTGGGGCCCAAGAGGAAATCAGTCACTTCTTCTACCTTTCCCCCTTCTCTTTGCCATGAAGGAATGGGGCCGGATGCCAGGATCTTAGTTTTTTTAATATTTAGTCTTAAGCCGGCTCTTTCACTCTCCTCCTTCACCCTCATCAAGAGGCTCTTTAGTTCCTCTTTGCTTTATGCCACTAAAGTGGTATCATCCACATATCTGAGGTTGTTGACATTTCTCCTGCCTATCTTGATTCCAGCTTGTAACTCATCCAGCCTGGCATTTCTCATGATGTGCTCAGCGTATGAATTAAACAAACAGGGTGACAGCAGACAGTCCTGTCCTACTCCTTTCTCAATCTTGAACCAATCGGCTGTTCCATACAGCGTTCTATCTGTTGCTTTTTGACCCAAATACAGGTTTGTCAGGAGACAGGTAAGATGGTCTGGTATTCCCATCTCTCTAAGAATTTTCCACAGCTTGTCATGATCCACACAGTCAAAGCCTTTAGCATAGTTGACAAAACAGAGATAGATGTTTTTCTGAAATTCTCTTGTTTTCTCTATAATCCAGCAAATGTTGGCAATTTGATCTCTGGTTCCTCTTCCTTTTCTAAACCCAGCTTGGACATCTGGAAGTTCTTGGTTCTCATAATGGTGAAGCTTAGCAGGCAAGATTTTAAGCAAGATTTCACTGGCATGGGAGATGAATGCAATTGTCCAATGGTTAGTACATTTTTTGATACCCCTTCTTGGGAATTGGGATGAGGACTGAGCTTTTCCAATCCTGTGGCCATTGCTGGGTCTTCCAGATTTGCTGACATAAAGCATGCAACACCCTGATGGCACCATCCTTTAAGGATTTGAATAGTTCTGCTGCAATTTCATCACATCCACTAGCTTTATTAACAGCAGTGCTTCTTAAGGCCCACCTGACCTTGCACTCCAGAATGTCTGGCTCTGGTTGACTAACCACACCATCGAAGTAATCTGGTTCAGTAGGATCTTTTTTATACAATCCTTCTGTGTATTCTTTCCATCTCTTCTTGATCGCTTCAGCGCCTACTAGGTCTCTGCCATCTTATCCTTCATTGTGCCCATCTTTGGGTGGAATATCCCCTTGATGTTTCCCATTTTCCTGAAGAGATCACCCCTCCTTCCCCTTTTGCTGTTTTCTTCTATTACTAAGCGTTGTTCATTGAAGGCCCTCGTGTCTTTTCTTGATATTTTTGGGATCTCTCTGTGTAATTGGGTGTGCCTTTCCCTCTCTCCCTGGCTTTTCGCTTCTCCTCATTCTTCAGCTATTTGTGAAGCCTCCTCAGATAACCACTTTGCCTTCTTGGAGGAGGGAATGGCAGGATACTTGCCGTGAGAACCTCACAAACCGTATAAAAGACCAGAAAGAAGTGTGACATGAGCAGCGTACGAATGAACACTTGATGGAATTGGCGGCCCAGAGAAAGGGCGAAGCGAGATGGAGTAACTGAGGGACTGAGGGGGTTCAAGATACGGGGTATGTGGGGGGATTTGCTTTATCTTAGGAGGCACCATCAGATTTTGAGTCACAGCCCCCAAACAGAGAAAGGAAGCTGAAGGTTGCACAGCCGTTCAGAACGCAATCCAGCGTTCACCGTGTCATCTGTGACGAGAAAAAAAGAGCCACTACCCAGACCTCGCTGGATCATTTTTTCGAGGGAGCGGATAGAATTGGGCCCAGCGAGGAACGGAAACCCGAGCCATCAGCGTCAGGCACGAGCGACGCTGCAGCTCGCCCTGTGCCTCCCGTCGCCGGCCCTCCTGCGGCGGCGCCGTCCCCGCAGCCTCTCCTCCTACATCCAGCTGCTCCTCCCGCCTCCTCACGCGGTGCCCGCCCGGATGCCAGCTGCTGTACCATTGCCGAGCTATTGGCATACTTTTCAGGGCCCTGGACTGTAAGATTAGAAGATGTTTCCTTTATTTTCTTCTTTGTTTTTATGCATTATTTGCGGAAGAAGAATTATAAACCTGTTATAGTGCAATACTACATAAAAAACTATTAGTTGGGTACCTAAGCTACCTTTGTTGGACTTCAGAGCAAACTGGATTTACAAACGTGCTTTTGGAATAGAAGTCATTGGCAGGCAGGGGACTTACCGTAGACCTTTGTACCCTAACACGTAGAACGACAGGCACAGAGTTTGCCAGCGGGGCGGGGCACCAGTACTCAGGGCTCCCGGACGGGCAAGGGGGGCACAGGCCGTGGAGCTGCACGGCAGGCTTGGCCAGGGAAGCAGGCGGGCTGGGTGGCAGCGGAAGCAATTAGGACCAGGGCAGGGGATCAGAGCAAGCCCCCAGCCCATCAACAGTCAGGCGAAGAGCGGCCTGGACAGCTCAGCTTTGCCGTTTTACAGCCAGAGAGACAGAGCATCCCAGGGCCGGGGAGGAGGGGGTCTCCACCTTACACGGCCACAGAGGGCAAGCCCGGCGCGGCCACTATGGGCACCCCGATCTTCCGGGAAAGACCCGCCGAAGCCACCCTACCTTCATTCATTCACCCATTCACTCAGCAGGTATTTAAGGACCCCATGTCAGTGCCAGGATCGATGCTGGGCACTGGGGACACAGCAGTGAGCAAGACCAAGCCCCTCCCCAAAGTGTGGGGGCAGAGGAGACAACACACAAGGTGAGTCCGACTGCAGGGAGGCAGATGGCGGTGCCGGCGGTGCGGCCCACCAGTGGTCAGGGCTCCAGGGCCTGTGTGCTCACTGCGGCTCCTCTTTCTACTAGGATGTGAGCTTCCTGGGGACCGGGATCTCACACATCTCATAGGATCAAGCCGGGGGACAGACTCCGAAGGGAAGGCCGGAATTTGAGGCAGAAGAGAGGGACTACCAGCAGAAGGCAGGAGAAAGGGACCTTCCTGAGCCACATGTTCCGGGGTGACCGTGAAGTGGAGAGTCAGCCTATCACACCAGGAGCAAGTATGTTGGGGCGGGGCCAGGACAGGAGGGAAGGGGAGGGTCTCGATTAACCCAAAGGGAGAGCCCCAGAAAGAGCATTCAGGATGGCCTTCTCAATAGGGGCATCCTGCTATTCAGCCTTCTTAAGAGCCAAAAGCCCTTTCCCCCAAATTGGGGTTGATTCTGAAACTAAGCTTCAGCGTCGTTCACCCAGCCACCCCATCTTTGGACAGCTCGGCCAAGTTCATGGATCATTAGCTCCTGGTTCGATTCCTGGGCCGGGAAGACCCACTGGAGAAGGGACAGACTGCCCACTCCAGGATTCTTGGGCTTCCTGGTGGCTCAGATGGTAAAGCATCTGCCTGCAATGCGGGAGACCTGGGTTCAGTCCCTGGGTCGTGAAGATCCCCTGGAGGAGGAAATGGCAATCCACTCCAGTATTCTGGCCTGGAGAATTCCATGGGCAGAGGAGCCTGGTGGGCTACAGCTCACAGGATCGCCAAGAGTCAGACACGACTGAGTGACTTGAGCACGCGTGCAGTTCAAACGGGCTTCGCAGGTGGCTCAGAGGGTAAAGAACCCGCCTGCAACGCAGGAGACACAGGAGATGTGGGTTTGATTCCTGGGTGGGAAGGTCCCCTGGAGGAGGGCCCAGCAACCCACTCCAGTGTTCCTGCCTGGAGAATCCCATGGACAGAGGAGCCTGGCGGGCTTCAGTCCACGGGGTCACAAAGACTCGGATACAACTGAGTGACTAAGCAGCAACAGTAATTAATTAACAGCGTGGGGAGGAGGCACAAGATCTAAGACTGAAGACAATTCTGTCCATTCACAGTATGACCAGACCTCATTTCTAGCAAAATCCAAAATCTTTTTAATTATTTTTTTTAAATGACAGCTTATCTCCAAGATGTAAAGCAGAGATTGATCTCAGTGCCAGAAGTCCAGTGGTCCAGTCTAGATGGCGCTAGCTTACCACCATCCACGCTGTCCCTTCACAGTCGTCTTCATGAAGAGCTCGGGGCTGCTGGGGGCCCGCACACGGCTGCGTCTGCTTTGAGGGTTGACTTCTGGGCCATTCCTGAGACCCACAAGGAAATCCATCACACGACCTGCTGGTCTGACCTAATATTTGCAAAGCTGGTCTCAAGGTCATAAGATCTGCTATTGGGGAAACAGGATCCTTCTGCAGCAAGAAGGGTTCAGGTTAGATCCCACAGCGCACGTCCCAAGCAAAGTGGCCGAGCCAGGGCCAACCCCGGAGCGAGGCTGGGCCATCTCAGTCTCGGAAAACTCCTTATTTCTTACCTCATCTGGCATCTGTCCCTGCACCTCAGCAGTCTGCTCGAGATTTATTGTTCCCTGGGAAGGATTCATCACACCCCAGAGCCCGAGGCCGCCGTTCGGTCAGGTTTGCGCCTCTGCTCCGAGAGCAGGCAGCTCCAGGTCTGCGTCCGTCTCCACCCCCAACACCTGGCGTGACGCCGCACGCAGCAAGGGCTCAACAGGCGCTCTGGTTTGTCGGAGACGCTCCGGGCTGCAGGACCCACCAGTCGGTAGAAGGTGGCGTGGATGGATGGATAGAGAGCCACACACCAAGAACTTCACACTGTAATCCCACTTAAGCCTCCTGACAGCCCTGTGTGGGAGGTTTAATTAAGCTCTTTCTTAAGAGACGGAACTTGGGCGCCAAAGAATCCACCAACCGCTCCCAATCTTAGGCATGGAAACCGTTGGCACAGGGGGTGCGCTCTTCTTTCTGGAGTCACTTTTGATGGAAACTTCAGACTCCTCCTCTAAGAACAGGCTTCAGGCTTTGGTCTCGTCTGAAGGCAGGAACTGAACCAGATCAAAACCAGAAAGATGAATAGCTGACACCCATCAAGTGCTGATCACAAGCTAAGCGCTCTTCTGAACACTTCATGCTAAGTCATTTGATCCCTCAAGGAGGGGAGAGATCGCCCCCACTTTACAGCCAAGGAAATTGAGGCACCAGGTGCTGGTGTTGGTCCTGCCAGAGAACAACAGCCAGGGAGGGCGGGATGCAAGCAGCCGTACATCAGACCACACGCCCTTTTACCATTCTGTCTGCCTCCTGCTCACTGCGGGACACGATTTACACAGAGGCAGCCACAGCTTTCCTCTCCACGGAAGCCCAGAGAAGTCAAGTAACCAGCCTGAGGTCACACAGCACCTGTCCCTAGTCCCAGCCACCGTGGGCGTGGCAGAGAACCAGGTAGGCTGCATCCATGCCAGGCCCTGTGCTTGCCACTCTCCTTACCCAGATCGCATCTGATCCTGACGGCAGCCTAGGAGGAAGGCTGTGTGATCCCTGTGATATGGAGGAGAAGACAGGGAGGTTACGGGGAGGAGAAACAGAGAGGTTAAGACACTGGCTTTCAACAGCCGTGTCCTGGCTCCCCACCCTGAGCACACGCGCTCCCCAGCCCCGCAGCTGGCCCCAGCCCATGCTAGCCGGGAAGGTCTCCCTGTCCCAGGGGAGACTAGACATCTGCCCCCTTTCCTCTCCTCCTCTCTTGGCTTCTTCGTGCTACTTTACAGACAGCAGGCAGAGCCTGAGATGATGGAGGCGAGGAATTAAGCGAGGGTGGGAGGAAGGAGGGGAGGAGGCGTGGCTGTAAACACTAACTGTTTTATCTGCAGGTTGCTTTCCATTTCCATGCCGAAGGGAAGGCTGTGTTTAATTAACTCTGCTGTGTGCTGGGGATGGGGCCTGATGGAAAATGAGCTACGGGGCCTCTGTTACAAGGCAGAGGGCCCCGCAGCCTCACAAAAGCACCAGCCCGGCGACATCTGGGCAGCAACTCTGAGGCAGAGAGGCCCACAGGCTCGCGCTGGCTGCTCAGTGCCCCTCCCAGCTTCCTCCCTGCCTGCAGGCTCCCGGGCCTCTGCGCGAGTATCTCTGCCCACCCCCTTCTCTGCCTCGGCCTCCCCCTGTCCTAACTGGCAGCTCCTCACCTGTCTTAGCCGGTGTTGTTTGGTCACAAGAAACTGATGCCCACCTCAGCTGCACTTAAGTCAGTTCAGTTCAGTTCAGTCGCTCAGTCGTGTCTGACTGTTTGCAACCCCATGAATTGCAGCACGCCAGGCCTTCCTGTCCATCACCAACTCCCGAAGGTTACTCAAACTCATGTCCATCGAGTCGGTGATGCCATCCAACCATCTCATCCTCTGTCGTCCCCTTCTCCTGACCTCAATCTTTCCCAGCATCAGGGTCTTTTCAAATGAGTCAGTTCTTCGCATCAGGTGGCCAAAGGATTGGAGTTTCAGCTTCAGCGTCAGTCCTTCCAATGAATATTCAGGACTGATTTCCTTTAGGATGGACTGGTTGGATCTCTTTCCAGTCCAACTGCCTCTCAAGAGTCTTTCCCAACCCCACAGTTCAAAAGCATCACTTAAGTAAAGAAGGCTTAATTATCAGGCCACAAGGGTGCCCCCATGAGCCCCAGAAGCTGGAAGAACAGCTGGGCCTCTAGAACTCAGAAATAGGAAGGAATCAGATCCAAACTGCTTTGTCCCGGCCACCCCCAGCCACGACCGTAGCTCCTTAGACCCGCTTCTTTCTGGATCTGCTTCTTTCCTCTGCATTGGCTCCCCTCTGCCCTTCCTGTCTTCAGAATCTGATGTCCACTCTGCTGATGCAGGCTTGAATACTTGAGTGCAAGTTCTGATTGGCCCAGCTCATTGGTCAGTTGCTCATCCTGGTCCTATTAACCCGGGCTAAGTGCTGGGTCACGTGACTGCCTTTCAGGGTCACGCAGAGCTACTCTCTAGGGGGTGGGGGAGCAGGGAAGAAGGGGGTGGGGGTTCAGGATTCAAGGCCGCCTCAGAGCTCTCCCCTTCAGAAGTGTCGCCTGCCTGACTCCGCCTGTGGAGTCAGGAGCCTTTCCTCTGTGCTCCCCC